CGACAGACCTCTGGTGACAGGGTCCACTTCAGGAGAAATTCAGGCTGGGGCAGCAGCAGCAGATGGATGCTGCTGGATGCAGCTCACAAGAAGCATCTTATGAGGTACCCAAGCTTATACATGTTACCAATAGCATCACAGAGCCACAGCTATTTTCAAAGACATTCTTAAGAAAGATGCATGTTTTCTTTCAAAAGTAAATACAAACCTCTGTAAGCAGAGGTTAAACTATGTGAGATGGGGAGACAACAGAGCCCCGCTGTGAGAAACAGACCAGTGGCTTTGAAAGAATTTTTTACCTTAGATGCTTCAAAAGATTGCTTACATGGAGAGACTTTTGCAAGTCAAACTTATTCCCTTCAGATTTTTTAAAAGCCCATTCAACATGGCCACTATCACTGCACAGAGAATACCAGGTTCAGTTCAGCCATATCAGAAGAAAAGGAACAAACTCAGAAGTGACTGAGCTCTGCCTGAATTCTTCTAATGACATTTGCTGCATCTAAAAGAAGACTCATACCTGGCATAGCCAGCTTCATAGAGAAACTGAGGTACTTGTGTGGTTTTACCACTTCCCGTCTCTCCACATATGATCACAATGGGATTTTCACTAATGGCTTCCATGATGACTTGCTCTTCAGCAAGGATTGGAAGCTTGAGTCTTGCTTCCTAAATAATATAAAACACACATTTTAGTTGCACTGTTTTGTCTCTCGTTCCCTTTTTGTTTTCTCCAGGATTGAAAACTGCTACCTTCCTCAGATTATAAAACCCACAAAAAGGAATTCTGCAAGCTTTGTGGCTCAAAAAGCTCTAAACCAGCTAATATCACACGAGCTTGTCCAAGAACTAGAGTCATCAGAACAGTTTCCCAGAAAGCAGTTGGCAAGCCCTGCACTTTAATTTGTGAAACTTCAGAGTCCCTGGAGTTTATTAATATAGCACTTCAAGGGAAAACTCATTTCACAACTCTGTCTCACGTGTTCAGACACACGCAGAGCTTTCCCCGTTTCTACAGAATGCCTTACCTACAGCAAAAGGAATAAAACTATCCAGCATACCATACAGCGTAATGGAGAGCTACAAGTGACTTCATGAGATTTTCCAGCAAAGAATGACAAAAGACTGCTAATAGATTCTATATTTAAAACTAGAGACAAATGCATATATCCTAAAACAAAACTAGCTTTCCTTCTGCTAGATTAGACAGGCTTAAAGCTCGGACATACACGTGTACGACTTGCCAGAACAAGAACCCTAAGTGCACACTGCTGCCCTGTGGTATCGACGAGACACAAGGTAATGCTACAGTGTCTGCAGTGATCTAATCTGATGGAAGACACCAGAATTCCCAACCCCCCTGAAAAGCACCTCACTGTCCACAGAGCCTCACCTGAATCTCAGGAGATCTGTCCACTGGAATGAAAACCGCAGGCTTGCAAGATGGTTTCTTGGAGGCTGTCTGGCAAACCGGCGTGCTGGGATCAGCTGGCTGCTGGTTAGCTGCTGCCTTCTTCACACCTTCCTCTGGCTTTTCAGCAGTGTTCAAATCACTGGCTGAGGACTTTTCAGTTTCTTTTTTCTGTTCTTCTTCCTCCTCCTCAGAGCTACTGGGTTCTGCCTCGGGCTCCGATTCTGAATCTGAGCTGTGTCTTCTCTTGTTTGCACCGCTGATGCTCCTGATCTTTTCAGGTACAGCAGCCCCTGGCTCCTGTATCACCCTAGAACAAAACATCAACACGTCTACTACCTTTCGGTCAATGTTCTCCAGGACTCAAGCCAGACATGTCTTCCACACAAACCAAAAAATCGCACCATTAAAGTCACTGCCTGAGCCTGAACCCAGGTTCTACTCAAACAGGGAAAACTTCTACACCTGGGGCATAGAGCAGCACAAGAAGACAGTACTCAGAGAGTTTAACCCAGTTCTCCAAAGATCTCCACTCCTGCAGGTTTTCAGAACCCTGCTAGGTAAAGCCTCGCCTGACCCGATTGCTGCATTTGTATCTAAGCACGCTCTATACTGATATTTATTCATTTCTTCAGAAGACATCTTTATGGTTTAATTTATTTCAACTTCTGTCAAAATGCAGCTCTTGATAAATCCAGTGACTAAGGACCACATCAGCTGATGTCTTCCAATACAACAAAAAATTAAATGTTTATCCACCAACTATGTAGTTCAGCATCATTTGTAAGAGTATGCAGATGTAATTGTCACCCACCTTGACCCTTACGAAACAGAAGGCCAAGTTATTTTAATTAACATCCTCTCAAGAGGACATCATTCAAACAAGAAAATAAATACCATGTTATCAGATAGAAATAGAAAATTAACTCCACCTACTCTGAAGAACCTGTATGCTATAAGAAGAAAAAAAAAAAATAAATCAAGCAAAAAAAAAAGCAAAGTAGGCTGCCAAGTTTTCAACCACAGCAATAAATCATAATGGTTCTTTCCAAAGAACACTTTACCTTTTCGTCTGAAACATGCGCTCCCCAATACCCAGTTTGGAAGTAGTGTACAGAAGTTTCATTTCTGCATCAGAAGCTTGAACCTCATTCAGCTTGCTCAGCAACTCGGCTCGCTATTTGGGAAAAACAGCCAAAATCAGTGCTTATTTTCACCAGGAAATAATTTCATTTCAAGATTTGGTTTTGAGTTTTAAAGGGGTGTGCTCTGGCAAATCTTGCTGTGAAGCTGTAAGGACATTCCTGCTGCTACATGGTCAGTCCTCCCTGACAAAGATTTCAGGCCTGCACTAGAGCAAAAATAGAAATGTGAACCTGACCCTTCATCACTGCTATGAAAAGCTCAGCTGCACCCTTCAAACAACAGCAAAGGAAATGGATTTGAACTAAAATGCTGGAGTGAGGGCTGGAGCAATGGAGGCCTCCCTTCAATTCCCTCACGTGAGACAGCGCTGCCAGAAGGTCAGACAGCCACAGTTTTAAGCTACCTCCAAAAATAGAGTTCATTTGTCAAAACCATTATTCAGACCCTAACACAAACAGGAATTTTGCCTGGAAGGCATCTACAAAGACAGAAAAGCTCTATTTGCATATAGAAAATATACAAGGGTTGGAAATATTTCAGAAGCACTGGCAGTAGCAGAATTAGGGGTGCATCAAGCTTTGCATTCTGCAGCAGGACAAAGCTGCTCACACAATCCGTGACAATGCTTTTAAAGTATAATGTCATTTACTCTGCCAGTGATGAACTTCACAACATGCACCTATTCTGTCAGGGTCAAAGAGAGAACAGGTACCAGGACCCAGAAATTATGTGTTCCTGCAACACTTGATCCACTGAGAGGGAGGGGAATGCGTCCCCCCACCAGTTACACTCACAAGTCCCCTGGCAGTGGCATGTTTTTGCGAAACCGCCCAGCAAAGGGATGGCTAATGCTGTTGTAACATAAACTCTTAAACTTCAGCCACTGCACGTCCTTGAGATGCCCCAGACAGTTCACGACCTGCAAACCACTCGCTGGCCCTGCTGAGCAGTCACCCCACCTCTGGTTTCTCACACCATCACAACAGCATCACGCGTCAGGGACAGCCAGCATCACAGCACGGAGGCAACCTCTGCAGATGCTTATTAACATCAACCTTTTCCACACACTGATATTAAGTTCACTTTATCATTTTAACACAAGTCACACAGCTGGAGTCACCAGCAAGCAGCAACATACCTCTTTTTTCTTTTCCTTCTGCTCTAAAACTTTCTGCAGGTTTTTCTTCTGTTTCTTGCTTAGGGGTTTCTTCTGTTGCTGCACAACACCAGCTGTTTTTTTCTTCTTTGCTTTTTTTGCTGGCAGGACCAGGGCATTACTTCCACCAATTCCTTTAAGCGTGGCTTCATCTGAAAGCATGTTTGATTATTCACCTGTGCCAGGCAGATTATTTTCAGCTCACTGCTTAACAGGCTGATCACAAACCGTACCAGATTTAGCTGTTCTAAACAAACACAACCCTCACACCCAGCCAAAAAAAAAAAATCCCACATCATCATCAAGGGTGAAAGACCATGAAACCATGGACCCGATAACCCTGTGCTTACTATAGCCATGAGGGTAATTTTCCTTGATTTATGTAGCAACATTATGAAATTTTTGCCTTTTTAACCCCCCCAGGGTCAGCGAAGCAGCTCAGGTCACAGCGCGTTTTGGGGCGACCCTGCAGCCTCCATCCTCTCCCAGACACAAGCAATTCTTAATACTAAAAATCTGTGTTACTACAATTTGAATAAAAATAATACAATGTGGTGGGTTTGTTTCAAAAGCAGCATTTTAAAACGCAAATGTTAAATAAATTTTCAATAACTGCTTTAATAAAGAATTGCTTACATGCAGTAATTGGTCTAACAGAGCTATTAATGCCAAGCCTGTAAGATACTTTAACGCTTCCAATGAAAGTATCATAAAATACAGTAGAGACATGGCAATAACCCCAATCCCTGCAACCTTACGGTCACTTTAGCACCATTAACGACCCGAGTTAGCAATAACATCAGGCGGGAACAGGAGGGCCAGGCCGGGCCGCTCCCCACACGGGCTCCGGGCCAGGCCCCGCCGCACCTCCCAGCTCCAGCGGCAGCTCCAGCGGCAGCTCCGGCGGCAGCTCCGGCGGGGGCCGCGCGGGGCCCTGCGGCAGCCGAGCCCTCCAGTTGTGCCGGCGGCGGGCCCGGCCCATGGCGGCGGCGAGGCCGATGGGGCTGGCGGCGGGAGCGGCCCGGCCCCACGTGCAGCCGCCGCTTCCGGGGGGCGCGGGGTCTCGCGAGAAGGGGGCGGGGCGGGGCAGCGGCGCGCGCAGGCGCGGGAGCCCGCAGGGCCCCGCGGCCGCCCCCCCACACACACACGCACCCCACGCCGGTGCCGCCAGGGTTTCATGCCGGATCGGGCCCCCCCCGGGGCGGGGAGGGAGCGTGGGGTGGGACAGTCCGGGCTCCAAACCCGCCCTCCCGAGGGAAGGCTCCAACGCGAGTCAGGGCTCAGGGCAAAGGTTCAGTAAACATTTATTTTAAGCTTTGTCACAATACCATAGTTTTGTGAAAGTCGTCTACAAATACTTAACTACCTAGTACATTGATTGGGTGGTCAGATAAGTAATAAATAAAGGCAGGTGTAGCTCTGTAAAAAATAAGTCTGATATATTTGTAACTACTTAACACCATTATCAGTAGAATCTAATATTTCCCTATGGATCATATGCCAAAAGTATACATACAGCATCTCTTCAGACCAAATTGTTTTTTTACATAAACATAATTGTACAAACTGAAACACTATAATCTTGAAATCTGATGTACAAAACAGGATGTGAAATCACCAACATCAGTGCCGATAACGAGTGCTACCATAGCAAATACCATTTCTGATCAAAAGGAAAAGATCAATTCTTAAATGTGCCGTCATCACAGTTCAATGGAGTTATCCAAAAGTTTAAAATACATGCGGACACAATAAAACCTTTTATTTTCCCCGACAAAGAGAACTTATGGTCATTTACATCATTAGCTGCCAAATACAGATCAGTACGTGAGGCAAATCACACTTAAAAAAATTCTACGCCAGCAAAGAGCTAAGGTTGATACTGGTCTATTTTCCACACAAACGATGCAACAAGTCTTTAAAAGCAAATCACAATTTTAAGGACGCACTATTAAGTACAGCACTGAATTACACCAGATTTGATACATTGTACTCTGACACCCAATACCACTTTTAAAAGCATTTACATTCCGAATACAACAGATCAATTATCTAGAGGCGAGGTGTGTACTTTCAAAGAAATTGCTACCCATGTGAGCGTTGCAAAAACATGAATGTCTTGAAAATACTACAGGAGTTTCAAATATTCGGTCTTAAAGTACGAAGTTGAAAACGCTTCAGACCCTATTGGAATTTCTGATACTGGGCAGACTGGAGCCCACCTGAACGTCAGGGCGATGTTTTCTCACTCAGCGGTGGCCAAGGGGAGAGTGGGTGCAGGGGAACCGTTCCGGGGGTGCAGGAGGTGGCAGGGAAGAGCCCCGATGCCGGGGGAGCACGGGTGCCACTACCCACCAAGACGGTGGGTGAGAGAAAAAGGCTGGGAACCACGGGAGCTGGGGCTTGGCCCCATTTCTGCCACCACCCCGGGGCGAGTCTGGCAAATTCTGGGTCTGGGTTTATCCGTGGGTGACGAAGCGCCACCCGCCCATCTCTGGGAATGGGCACCAGATGCTCCTGTCAGTGGCAATAGAAAAGCAGCGCGACCGCCGTCACTGGAACGAATTCTATAAAACAGAGCAAAAACCTCGATGGATAAGCTAGATGGCTCGGTATGGAAAATATTTGTAAAAGGTATTTACAAAAGTTGAAAGAGATTAAATACAATACCACATTCATGTCCCGAAAGCGCTTTCACTACAGTGCATGTTTAAAAATACAGAGCATTTTTAAAGAGTGTATATATATATATATATATCTCGAAGATTAGATTGTGCTTTAAAAAAAAATCACTACGTCTGAATCTAACATGAAAACTGAGTGCTGGGAAAAATACTGATTAAAAATATCCAATTTTATATATACCGCTTCTCACATAACATTTTGCTATACATGGGATGCAAGTAAATATAAAAATACTTTTTTTCAAGCAGCAGGGTGATCAAAATTAAGAGTATTAATACAGGAGGGCTGATTTTACAAAACTAAGATAAATTATCTGAGCAAGACAGGGAAAACTATAATCCAAATTAGCTTTTATATAGTATTTTAAAAGAAATTTTATCATAGACAACTCTTAATATATAAACGATTCATATTTTTACCTCTGACGTTAAATATGGATTACAGAAAATACAATCTATGCAAAACTGACTCATGCACATAGTCCTACGGAAGTCGATGGAACCACTTACACGAGCGAGGTTTGCAGACTTTGGTCCTCAGGCCTCAAATTTAGCAAAACGCATAAAGACCTGACAAAGCTTTGTTAATCAATTCATAATTTCCAGGTTGGTGTTTCAGCCCAGTCCTTTGTGCGCAACAGCAGGGAAAACTGAGTGTACAGGGAAGACTCTGTAATACTATGGAAAATAAGCCCTAAAAAGGAATAAACTGTCATTTACATTTTCACCTTTACAAAGTGGACTATTTGTTGCCATAGTACTTATCTGTTCGTGCGGAAGATTTTAAGTTACCAAAAGCAGTTACTTTGCAACTCTAAATGTGTATTTCTTGAAAAAAGGGGTGCAGGGGGTTTTACAGATGACGTAAAAAATTAAAACGGATTACAACAGTGCCAACTGCATATGAACTTCAACCGTGTTGAACTTAAGTGATCACAGTTTGGAATAAAGGCCATTAACATGGATTTTAAAATAATCCCTCGTGTAAATGTCACATACAACCCAGAGGTTAGGCAAGTAACACACATTTCAAGAAGAGTATTAAACTTCAGCATAAAGAGAAAAAGAAATTCACCCCACATTCAGTTACATTCAGTTCAGCGTCACATCCAAGCAAAGCCCTGCCCAGTGGAAGGAGCAGCCGAAGAGCAAGTGCCCAGCTGTGCCCAGCAGCCCTGGCCAGTCCCGCCAGAGCCGGCGCTCGCAGGCGCAGCGGTAGCACCATGGTCACTATTCCCACTTGTTCCCTCCCCCTGCAGCCAGGCCCTGCCACAGACCGATTTTTGTGGTGTTTTTGATTTGTTCGCTTAGACATTCTGGAATACACAGTTCTCCAGCTGTGCTCCAATTCACCTCCCGTGGCTTCGACACTGTGCTCATCACTCCGGTTCAGGTGCTTCCCCTCCCTCCCCCCATTTATAACCTCGAATGCTTAGCTGACCGGGTTAAACCACTTACCGGACTTTCTTCCCTGAGGTTACCTTTGTTTCAATGCGTAGTCTACCAAGCTAGTTAATTCTAAGGTTACAAATAAATAGAATCCTCCAAAACTGCTTCAAAGCTCCTACATCACTTGAAAATGTGACTGTTTAATACACCCTTCTCATAAGGTGGCTCACTTTCCCCAAAACTCAATATAGTGAGGACACAGACTTCAAGCAAAAAGCTCCTATAAAACTATTACAATTTTAGAAAAAAATCCAGATCTTCCTGAAGATAATTTATTGCCGCTTATTGGTCCTGAGAAAGCTTTAAGCAACAATACATTTGCAAGTGTTTTAACTGCTGCCTTTTTTGAGAAAGTATGTGGGTCCTGAGATTAAAAATCATGTTTTATTCTATGCACTTATGCTTGGAAAATGCTTCACTGTGAAGATCAAATATGAATTACAATTTGCCACGCTACATCTCTTCCTTTTGTGTCAAGTTATTAAAACAGATTTCTTTTGAGACACCAAATTAAAGTTCTCGAGATGAAATGCAATGAAATAATGCCACACGTGCACTTCTCAATTCCTCATCTTGGACTGGCATTTAAGGACTTCAAATTTATGAAATCTTCCTTATTCCTTATTCCCCACCTCCTATTAAAAGCTATGGTGTGAATTTTTTGGCCTGGATACCAGAAAATTCCTCATCTGATACTCTATGAAAGGCAACTTCAAGGCAATAAAATAAGCCAACAATAAAACAAAAACATTTGCAACTTTGAAAAAAATATGCGGACCCACAGCAGTTACTTCTCAATGGAAGTGTTTGGTAGCTTAAGATTTTTTTTTTTCTTTTTAACTTTTTAAGTGTCAAATTTGCATATGTTTAACTCAATTTCAATATTTGAAAGACTACTCAATTTGTTTTTATAAAAACTTTACAAAAGATGTTTTTAAATGCTTGTAAAAGTAAGCGTTTATCTACTGAGAAAAGTCTAGTACTGGATAAAACTCTCTGAATATACAGCTGAATTTTTTAAATGTGATTTTTTTTTACTACAAGTATAATGGCTGAGTGTATAATCTAGATAAATTAGTCTTACACATGATGAAAAGTTATAACTTCACGCACTTTTTACCATGTGATGTTTTGTTGCTTTGTAACTTCGCATGAGACAGTGCTTAGGAATTTTCTAGAGCTGGTGTACAGTGGTCTATAGGGGTCGGTTCATTGGTCACTGCCTCTGTCCAGGTTTTCAATCACCCGAGAAAGACGTATGTTCAGAAGTCTGATCTGACTATCGAGGTGGTCCATCTTCTCCTCAAGGCTGCTGTTGCTGTTTCTTCTCCAGTAAAATCCAACTGGCCCTGTCATGAAGTAGACTGCTACAACAAAGCAGAGAGGCAGGACTGCGTGTTCTGGGTCACCTTCATACTTCTGGAGGATGTACACGCACGAGAGAGTGAAAAGGGCAACCCTCGCAATCCAGAAAAAGCGACCAAACAGCATGTGCAGGAGATAGAAGAAGAATCCAAGGAAGAGAGATAAAAACCAATAGGCAAGTAAAATGGCACCAATCAGCAGAAGAGCCCGGGTCGGGTTGTTGGCAATTGCTGCTGGGCTGAAATAATGAGTCAAGTTGGAGGCTGAAAAACAAAGGAAAATTTACAGAATATTAATGAGTGTGTGCCAAAGTGGTAAGGGTAAAAATGCAAGCGCAGCTTCAATGGGTCATGCAGCGGGGTCACGGCAGTGTTTTCTAAAGTAAGGGGTAAAGCTAGTTCATCCATTTCTGGATGGACATTTTTCAAATCACTGGCTCAGCTCCAGCGATAGTGATGCAATTGAAGTAATTCCTTTAGAGTAGAGGTGCTAAAGGTTCTTTAAAGACAAACTACTGTAGGGCCTAAGGTCGAAGTTCATACTGAGGCTAAAGATCCTGCTTTGTAAAAGTTACATTCTAAATGCTCTCAATCACACCTTTCCTTCTTCTAGCCCTCCTTTATTTCCTGCACCGTTCCTGGCTGTGTGCATCCATTCAATGATGATACCAAGAAACCAACCATGACTTGTAATGCATTTTATACGGAATATCTGGTTTCAGTCCTCTTGTTTGAAAGTACTAATGGCAAAAATCAAAGCCATGTGAAGCAGATAGAAATACCACTGATGGATGTTTAATGCAGCATGAAAAAATGTAATTACTTTCCCACTCGGCCTATGCTTGTAAACATTGATACAGGCTGATATAGTTCAAGAGTTAACAGGCATAACACTTACCGTCGATTCCAAGAACATCTAACAAATCAGTCCATATTCTCCAGAATGTATCCATTAATATATCCACCCCATTCACAAACCTCTCTGTCAACCTTGAGAAAAACTGAGAAATAAAATTGAAAATTAAAAAAAAAAAAATCCTCAATTCCTTAAACACACTTTGAGACTTAGTAGTCACGAGTAGAATTATAATTCATTAAACAAGAATTGCAGGCTAATTTGAAGTCCCTGAGGAAACAAAACGTAACTCCGTAAACGTTATTTGCCTCTGCAAACAATAAATTTACTTATTACAATTGCCCTTATTCTAAGTATCTTAGCATGCAAATTTGTATGTTGACATGATTTTAAAATGCACTTTATTAGCTTTACCATTGTTCTGAAGTTTAAGGAAAGCACTATTACTAGCAATGGACAGGTTGGATGGGGCTTTGAGCAACCTGGTCTAGTGGAAGGTGTCCCTGCCCGTGGCAGGGGGGTTGGAACTAGATGATCTTTAAGGTCCCTTCCAACCCAAACCATTCTGTGATTCTGTGACATTGGTAAAGCAAACCAGAAAATTAGTTTTAATCAAGCAACTGAGAGATGTCACCAGCATCACACTCAAATATCTCAAATACAGGTTATTTTAACGGTATTATCTCTTCATACTGGCTGTGGAGAGAAGGAACAGAGGAATGCAAAGGTTCGTCTGCCTGCATGCCTTATTTCCTGCAAGTTCCTATGTGGCCCCACAAACACGGGATGCTCGGCTGGTGCAGACAGACCATATTTCAGTCGGAGAGCTTCTCACCAACAGCGGTCTGTCGTGGCTGCCCCCCCACCTAAAATAATCTTTAAATGCCTTTTATTAAGATTTTTTTGCAGTTTGCTCCACGCCAAGCCTCACCTCCCGTTTTTCTTCCCCAAAGCAACGCTCCAGCCGTTCCACCGCCTCACCCACAGCCAGGCTCGCACAGGAGACCAGGCCGCCGGCGGGTCCAGCGCCGAGCACCGCGGCGGGGGCGGAGGGGGAACGGCCAACCGCGGGGCTCGGCCTCACAGAACCGGCTGGTCACCCCCGGGAGCAATGGAAAGGGCGCGAAGGCAAAGGAAACGAAGGGTTCGGGGAGGAGAAGCGGGGGGGAAGCGGCCGGCGCCTCACCTTCTGCAGGGCCCGCACGTTGTCCTCGCCGAAGACGCCGCTGATGCCCTGGTACAGCCCGCTGGCAGCGCGGCGAAGGGTGTTTTGCTTCTCGGCGCCGCGGCTCCGCGCTGCCCAAGCAGCGGGGCCGGCCGGGCCGCCCAGCAGCAGGGCGAGGAGCAGCAGCAGCGCCGGCAGCCGCCCCGCCGCCATGGCCGCCCGCGCCCGGCAGCGCCGCGACTGCAGCGCCGCCTAGAGGTCGCGCCGCGAACTCCGCCGCCGGTGGGGAGGCGGGAGGGGAGGGGGAGGTGGGCACTCCCCGGGCGCACCGCCCCGCTCCCTTAAAGCACTGGGTTTCTTGAAATCACGGAATAGTAACTTCAGATTTCCTGTGCAGCTCCTCGCCGAGCCAAAATGGCCTGCACAAGTCTATGGCTGTGGCCAGCCCTTGGAGAAACCTGCCCTGGGATTCAGCTTGTCCCGGTCCCAACCTCTTCCAGAATTTGGCCTGTCACAATATTTAGCCTCTTCCCGATGAAATTTTCTGTTTAATACTCCACCCGGAAAAACTGTTTTCCCTAACACCTAATCAGGATTTCCCAGGGCCATCGGCTCTCTTGTTGTGAGTGTGCACCCCTTCGAGAAGGTTCTGGCTCTGTTTTCCCTGGATCCCCTGCTCCGGGAGGCGAGCAGGGATCCGGGCTGGCCTTTGCCCTCTCTCAGGCACACTTTGCTCCAGCCCTGCTCAGTGGCCTCTGTTGGACTCACCCCGGTATCGATACCCATCTTGCAGCGTGGAGCCCAAACCTGGGCGTGCTGCTCCAGAGGTGGTCTCAGAAGGGCCAAACTGAAGGGAAGGATCACATCCCTCGAGCTGCCGGCTATGCTCTTGCTAACGCAGCCCAGGACGCTGTTGGGCTTCTTTGCTGCAAGGGCGCACTGCCGACTCGAGATCAACCTTCTTGGTCCCCAGATCCTCTCCTGCGGAGCTTTTAAATTACTCAGCTCTCTGTTTGGGCTCTCCAAGGCTCACCACAACCTTCACAGAGAGTACAGCGAGCTGCCTTGCCTGTGTGGGTATCCCTTTCTGAGGAGATTCCCAGGTGCAATCCCCAAATGACAAAAGGAATATAAAAGTCTAATGTCAAAAAATTACATCTCTTTTCAGTGCACTATCACCTTCAGGTCGAGGGATTCTGAATTCTCTTGTGTCCTTTACCCTTGAGAAACTCTGACTCAGATGTATATGCCGAAATTCAGCACGCTTAGTGGTGTGACTCCCTCTTCTGACAGGCTTTATGTTGATTTTTCCTGATTAACCAGGCTAACAAAAGACCAGTTGGGAAGTATAAATTAGACAATGTTATCGGCTCCTTCTGGATAGTGAAACCTAGCCAGGATGTTAGCACAGCGAAGGAAGAATCCCCAGGAGGTAGAAAAGGACTTTATTGCCTCCAGAGCACATTCTGATTCATCTTTAATTGACAGGAGCCTGAGTTAGACAAAACATGAACACAATGATGGCAATATAAAACCAGATCCATAGGTTTGCAGTGTAGACTCTACACCGACTGATAACGTAAGCTGGGACAGAAAATCTTTGCTGAATTGCCCATCAGGAACTTCAAGGTACGGGGGATCCTGGCATGCTCCCCAGAGCCTCTCAGCGTGCTGGGGAAGGGGTAAGCGGCCTGCGCTCATGCCTGCACACCACTCGGGAACTCTGCTCTGAAAACTACAGGGCAGAGCTCTGCTTTTACCAGCCCCTTCCCAGGGAGTTGCCACAGAGCCAGGGGTGCATCTTGCAGCTTTCCCAGTTACTGCAATAACTTGAAATATCTCTTTTTGATTTTATACCCTGTGTCCTGGATGTTTAAATCTCATGGCTCAACCTAAGTCCTGAGTAGCTGAGTAGATATCTAGAATATAGACAACTTTGCTATGGCCTTTCTCCCAGTTTTAGTCTGGCCAAAACACTTACTTTCACATTTAGCAAAATGGCCTAGACCTTTCAGCACTTATTTATATTTGGCCCTGAAAGTGTTGGGCCCAGATCCAGGAAGGTACTTAGGATCTTACTTGATTTCAGTAAGATATGGATTCTTTATATATTTATACATGGTGCTTTCATTCTCTTTTAAGGTGATCCTGAAATTACTGATATGTCAATACCTGCATATGTTCTGAAGTCTATCTCATACTCTTCCCAAAAGGGGTTGGTAACTGATGTCAGGTATTTTTGAGGTATTCTTAGGAGGTTTCTGGTTACTCGCCCTCAGTGTCACGCTGTGCCTAGACTCCCAGCACACAGTGAAGTGTCTGCTTCTGGGGCATTTCTTGCACGTAAGGAATCTTGTGGTACAAAATGACAGCAGTAATGTAATTAACTGTCATGAGTGCTGTTTTCTATGTCAGTTAAAATTCCTTGACTTACTTCCAGTTGTCATGGCCTTCTCTGGGTCTCCTTGTGTTGTTTCTGGTCCAGTGGGTCTTGTTTCTGCGAATTTGGGAATGTTCCTATTTCTCTACACGAGTTTCCATCATGGGATCCCTCAAAATCACTTCTGCAAAGTGCTTGTTTCTTTCCACCCATTCTTTACAGAGGCTCAGATGCTTATTTTAGTGGCCACCTTTGGAAGACTGTGCTCCGGGTTGTCCTTCATATGAGGTCAGGATAATTTGGGAGTCCTCCCTGGTATTTAATTGATTTCCTGACCTGTCTCAATGAGCCTATTTCAGGTACATTTCCCTCTCCAAATCCACAGCTCTTATGAAATTACACAGTATTTCACTCTTCTTGTTCAAATAAATGAAATCGTGTCTGCTCAAAGAATACATTGCATCATGGCATGAAATATTGATCTCAACCACATCGAACTTTTTAATTAGGACAACTGGGAGGTTTCTAGAAAGGTCCTCTAATGAGGGTCTTACTGTACAGAAGCATGAGTGTACTTCTGTTTCCTGATCTACACTGGAAAACACGTAGGAAGTCTTACTATAGGGATTCAACAACAATCTGAGCAGTATTTAGAATAAATTGGGGTCTTCTAGATGTCAAAGTTTTAGCAGATCATAGGTTTCTCTCTTCTAAAATAATTTTTATGCTGAATAAAATGGCATAGCCAACTGGTGTTACTGTGGACCAGTCCTTAATCTCACTAACCCTTATTTTTCCGTCTTTACTTCATCTCACAGCCTCAACCTGTCATAGCTGATGATCTCTTCATGTCTTGCTGCTAGCTCTGTGAGGCTTTTCTTGTAATGTGTCACAGCTTCTTTTCTTCTGCTTTTTAATTTTCTTTTTCTCTTTTCTTTCCTCTTCCCTTTCTGCAAATGATTTTGATTCTGGCTACTTGTACTCCTGCCACCATGTAGAGGTTGCAGAGATCATGGATGTCAAGTGGGTCAGAAGTTTCTTATTCTTATAAACTCATGAACCAGCAGGTAGCCACTCTGAATATAGGATTTTTTTAAAAAAATTTTCCAAAATCTTTAGATTTCCTAATCCAGGTGTTGGATCAATGATCAGGCCTCAGCATACTGCACAGATTGCCATTAGGTAATATTACGAAACTTTTATCTCACAAGTCCATGCATTTCATCACTCACTTTAATTTCACAGACTCACTGCAGAGTAGTTACCTCAGAGACCACAAACGTAGTGTCATCACCATCATTATTACTGTTAATCAGTTCTGAAGGATATTTTGAAGGCCCCCTAATCTAATCTAAAGCAGAAAACATGATTTAATTTTTAACCGATTATTACTATTAGTAGATGTAAAGCAAGTCTTAAGATTTGAAAATGGTCAGTTCTGGTTCATCTTATTCAGGCTATTTCCCTCCAGATATCCTAATCTATTCTCCAAACTATTTTTAGTAGTCACTGCAGTACTCTTAACGCCCTTTTTCTCATTAAAGACTTGTTTCCTTTTCCTTTTTTCTTCCATTTTTTCCAAAGTCACTTTTGAAATAAGGAAAAAACAGTTTGGGTAAGGCAAAACTGGAATGAGGGCAAGGAACATGGAGGCATAACCCACTCTAAGTAAGGATGCAGTAGTAGAACTGCTGTTAATAAATGAGCAGCGCTGTCAGGCTTTCCTAGAAGCCCACATTTTATCACTAAATTCCCAGAGCACCCCTTCCTCCTTGAACAGTAAATGGGTCAGTCCATTTTAAACTACGCCTTTCAGCTCAGTGAGAGGATTTTTGGGTCCCTTCTCAGGTGATTTGGCTGAGGATTTTCTTGTTAGATACATAGATTGCTTTAAGGTGGAGGAATGCTGATGGTTCCCTGCTGCTTTTTTATCTTAAAACGAGTAATACCGCCATCGCCGAGCCGCCACGCCGGGGTCCCCTGAGCGCTGAGGGGAATCATCGAGGGACCCCGCCCCTTCCCGCCAAACAGGATGAGAGCTCCCCTCCGATTGGGCACACCTCCTTCTGATCCAGCCGTCCACTGGTCGACAGAGAAGAGGGTTTCAGAAACCTCTGCGCCGATTGGTTCTTGGCGGTGTCAGCTCTTCCGCCGTCATCCCAGCCATGAGGAGAGCGGGCTCTGGGCTGATGTGGGACCAGGCGCGCGGCAGCCAATCGGACGCGCCGGCGTTGCGGCCGCCGTGCGCCGCGCGGGATCCGTCCGCAGCGCGGGGCCGCCCGGTCCCACAGCGCCTGAGGGGCGGCGGCCGCGATCGGTGGCTCCGCTGCCGCCCTCCTGAGCGAGGGGACGGCGGGAGGCGTAGGAGCTGAGACCCCCTCGGGGCAGGGATGTGGGGGGCGGCCTCATAAAGGGAGGGGGGCGGATGAGACGAAAGTGAGGTAAAAATGGAAAATTAGGGGTTCGCTCCCTGGGAGCACATTGGTGCTGGCCGTGACATGTTCACCAGCTGTTTGCGGCAGGTGTAATTCTCGGAGAAGTGTAGAAAACCTCACCAAATGCTCACCTTGACACGGCAGAGCAGGCCAGGCTATACGTGGGTGAGGAGCGCTAGGGCTGCACTGGAGATCCCTTGCAGAGTGCTGTGGTGCGGGGTGAGGGGATACTTCATAAACCCCGACCCTGGCGGGTTTGTCTCCCAAGCCAGTATATATATCCGCATTGGTTAACGCTCTGTTATCATAATAAATGTCTTCAAAACCTGGAGGGCAAGAAACATTATCTTTTCGGTGGGCCTGCCGAGAGGAGGTTTCCAGGTTGGTGGTTTTCTCCACCACAGGCTGTGACCCA